GTTGTCACCGACTGCCTGTACGAATTAAGTCTCATCATTGTTATGTATCAGGCTGACTACGGTTGTGTCATCGGCGAACTTCATTAGAAATGTGTTTTCTTCCCTTGCCACACAATCGTGGGTGAATAATGTACTGTATATAAACAAGGCAATAAGAACCAGTTCTGCCAGTTTTTAAATTCATTGTATCCGGAAAGTTCAAACCAACCTTTACTGACTGTTTTTTATTCAGAATAACACCTAAAACCCAATCACAGAGTGCTGGTGGAAATTTTAAAACCCTCAAATCATTCAAAAATTTAAATACAGTTTGTTTGGAATATCATGGTATTAAATGCTGAGCTATAACAAAGAAAAATCTATCATAGGCATTTTTACAATTGAGATGCTGGAAAACTTTGTGTAGACACTTGGAAAGAGCGCCATCTACACTTCTGTCACCACCGTTGGCAAATTGGAATGTTTTCAAAGCTGTTTGGCACTAGGATTTTAATAACAGACAGAACATGTTTTTCCAATATCTTCACAGTCACCGGTGTAAGGGCAACAGGACGTAGATCATTTAAATTCTCTTCAGTTTTAGTCTTTAGCACAGGTATAATGGTAGCTGTCTTTCACATGTCAGGCACTTTGCACATTTCTATTGGCCAGTTAAAAATATCAGCGAACACCTCCGATAGCTGGCCTGCACTTTCCTTGAATAGTCTTTATGATATTCCGTCCGGACCTGGGGCTTTACGGATGTTTAAGGCCAAGGAATGACACTTTAAGGTACATATGAACCGTGGATTCCCAGTAACATATATAAACCACTCCTACTAGTTTCTTATACGACTCAAATAAATTAGACTTGCCAAGGGATAAACTGAATAAATCTCTCGGTCAGCCATAAAGGAGCTTTAAACTGCTCCTTTATTTAATTATTTGGTTGGAAATTTAACCTACTTTCGTGACCTACTTTTCTGCCCCATTGATATACAGCATAGAATGCCAGCAGACAAATCCGTTCAAATATCGTTTTTTGAGTAAAATAAAACAATACCTTTTGGTAATTTTCTAAGTTATACAGGCACTACTTGAAACTGGATTTGGTTGACTTTTGTGGCAAAAAACTGACTTCATATGCATCTTTAACTTGCCATTATGTAAATGATGGCTCGTGCGCTTCTAGGGTGGGTGTGGGAACAGGGGTGTGGTTGGTCCTCTCAAAAAAGGGGGTTAAACCCATTCAACTTGTTAGGGAGTGAGGAGTCCTCTGCATCGACGGCACGTCTGGATCCCTTATATTGAGTGACAAGAGCAATGTGGTCCCAAAGATCCTTTGCATTATTGGACTGGGATTTCTGTTCGATTTTTGAATTAATATTTTTCTTTGTTTTTTTTTTATAACATTTTTAGTTCCAGTTCTGTTTTACGATATGCTGCAGCATTAGTTTGTTTCTTTCTCTCATGCGAACTTACATTTACGCTTTTTGTCTAGCGATGGCTTTCCTATTAACCTGTAGAGAGACAATGAAAATGTTTTGCCTACAAGAAGTGAACATGCATAGTAGGAAAAAAATCTGTTTGTATGCAAAGGTTCCAGACAGCAGGAATAGGATAAGGACATGACATGCAATCGCGACTGTTCAGCATCAAATTGCTCAAATCTGGGAATAAGAGCATTAAAGGAATACGTTGAAAATGCGACCCAAATTCCCCCACCTTTTCTCAAGGGGTAACGATAATTGATTATTTGGCTAAACATAATGAAACATAAATGGACTGAGGCATAGAGCATGTGATCGGTGATGTGAGGAGGTGTCGGCTGTACATGTCGGAGGTGTGTATATACGGTATATAAATGGATGTCAGCTAGGCCGGCGGTATATACTCGTAGACAGACACTGCTCCTTCTGCTTCACCCAGACACTTTCCGGTGTATACAGCGCAGGGCATATTTTAGTAGAATGCATGGTCAAAACTGTTATGACCAATGAGGATGCCCACTGGATGCAATTTAAAACATATTTTATGCTTGCAGTTACGTGTTTCATGGATACTGACGGCATTTTTTGACTAAGAGGAATTTATATACACGGAGAGGTTAACTACACATTAAACCCCGGACATTTTTTATACTGAGGGGTGCAGGGGCGGATCCAGACATATTTTCTGACAGGCTTCCAAATTATCTTTATTGTTCCATCCTCCATTTTTGACCGTCTTCCGACAGGAAAAATTAGATACCCGTCAATGTAAACTTGAAAATCTGACCGTCTTCCAGAAGACCCAGAAGACGGCCTAAATCCGCTCCTGGGGTGCATAATACGTACGTAACATCGTTTTATTGCTAAATATTACAGTAATTGAAATACCCTCCATACGAAAGGTCGATCCGTCGCTGCAAGAACTCACAGGGCGGCAGTGTTTTATTTCTTCCAAGAAAAACGCAGTGCATCGATTATGAACGGGACACACAGGCAGCTTAGTAGATGATGCTGCAGTAGTCTTAGAACGAATTCTTGCCATGAAATGGTTTCAGCGACAGTGGCAGGTAATATTATGTCGATCTAGTGACACTTAAACTAGAAACGCCAAGAAATTGTGTTAAGTGGGAATGGACTAAAGCAAGGTGCAGAGTCCATCTGAAAATTAAAGGGTGTCAGACTTCTGGATAGAATATCGACGGTGAAAGCAATTTGGTAAATTGTCGTTTAGCTATCTTTTATTAATTAAGTAAGGAGACCCCGCCCAAGGGAATACTGCAAGGCATACAAAGAACACTTCATAGCACAAATGCATGTCTTGGGGCATAAGCAGATTTATACCTCCTTAAATCTCGAGGAAAGTGAGTTCATGAAAAGGAAATATCCAATTTAAAGGAAATTGCCCCTCTGGCATCCTTTTCCAAAAAAAAAAAAAAAAAATGCTAAAATACCGTTGCGAATAGACCATTACACTTTGCAGAGTTTTCGCGGAAATCATAGCATCAGACACTGGCATGGAATTGTGATTGTCACATGAGGATAAAGAGTATTGATGTTTTGATGGCCGATCTGAAGACTTCTACTGGAGTACCGGGATGTTGCCAAGAAACAAAACTAAAATTTAGACCGCAGAACACAGAGCCACTCTAATAGTCGATAGAAGGCACCTACTCAGTCATTTTTCTGTCGTGGATGGGGAAAATGTGACCAGAAAACATTTGGCACCTTAACTGACATGGGTGAAAAACCTACAGAGGTGACTTTACACACGAATTCAATAGCCCAGTTTCTAGGATTAAGTTTCCAGGATTTGTCAAGGAGGTAGGAGAAGAATGTTTGAAAGCAATACTTTGTGGTGGAATACACCACTTATCACTGACAGACTATTTTTAGGTGATGTCGTGTTGGCTCAATGTTGGACAAGGTATATGTGATAACGGAAGCCGTAGTAATCAATAAGTTAGCAACGTAGTTTAGAAAGGTTTGCTTTTGTTCTTCCAGATTTCATTGAGAGCTGTGATTTGGAATTAATGGCTAAGATAGGCGCGTCGCTGTTTGTTCTCGCTCACGTTTTCGTATCTTATGCCAACCAGTAAAATGATACAGTAAGTATATAGGGGATGCTAATATCGTGGCACATAGCAGCATGCACAGCATCTCGAACGTCTCAATACTTAATCAGCGGAGTGGGCCGGGAGCGTTCTCTGTTGGCAGTCGTTTATATCACGGACGCTGAAGTAAATGGGTTAATAACTTAAAAGGATCGAGCGAGAAGAACTACATACATATGCTGGTACAGGCATACAAACAAGCTAACGCTTTTACTGACATCAGCAACATCAGCAATTATAAGACATATAGCATCTAATGAAGGAGACAGCAATTAAAACCAAACTCATCAAAACAGTCACGGGAACACAGCGGTCTGGACCGACGATTCTGTGAATTGCAAAGAGTGGGAATATATTTTTCTACGGAAAAAAGGCCACAAATACTGTTGCATATTTTTGTTCAGTCACATGTAGGAATTGTGTTGGGTTATTAAATCCGACGGACTATGAACCAAATAGTTATAACTCTCTGCCCTTATCTTAATGCATATTTGATTGTTGTAGAAATCACTGCTTGTATACGCAATCGCTTCATTTCTAGAAACATTGGTTACTCTATTGATATGCAGATCAAGCTCAGATGCATTTGTAAATAGCTTTCCACGATTGAAAGCAACTTCTGAGATCAAGTTTGATGACCAAAAACTGCCTTGTAACGTTTCATTCGCCTTGTGCGAAAATAACAATTCACCACAGCTGGGCGGAATAAGTAGGAGAGGGAAATCGGCGTCACGTATGCGGCTTAAAAAGGAACAATCGTGACAGAATCATGTTCTGATTTTATAAGAATAACGAGAACAACGAAGGTAATTATCGTTTCGTGTTATACCTGTGACTATTATTAGTGTCAGTGAACCCATTAGGCCCGTGTTTTGAAAAAGTCGGTGATGACGCAAATTAAGGGGGGAAATGCACGCCTTTGGGCAACAAACATGCTAATAAAGGAAACACCGTCGTAACGGAATCAATGAAATAGGTGGTATTTATATTCATTGCATTATTATTCTAATTAAAACCCATTAATTATTATGGACGGATTCTAGGCAGAGGAACTGAGCACTGTACTGCAGTGTTACTCCATCTTAGTGCGAATTTCCACAGTGGATTGACACTGAAACGTGATTTATTGAAATAGAATAACGATTACTGCGAACATTTGCTACGTAGAGCCAGTGCCAGCGAGGAAGTGGATAAAAATACACAGAGCAAACAGCGCTTGTATTAGAACAGTGATCACACCGAAGGATGACATCTGGATACCGCGTGCACGTGTTAGTTATTTTGCCACCAAGAATTACTGAAGGTGAACAAGGACGGAAATAAAACCGAACGAATAGGACACAAGGAGCGCCGTGCCGAGTTCCAAAAGCAAACATGATGATAAATTCGCACATTTACGTTGATTGATACATTGGTCACCATGGACGATATCGAGGCCAACTACTCTCTTCAGTTTATCCCCAGCTGTGACAACGGAACCGAATTCCGCCTGACCGAGGCCTCTATTATCGGTCTCCCGGTCTTGCTCGGGTTGATCTTCGTAATCGGCCTCTTCGGAGATGCACTGGTGCTGTACATCGTACAGAAAAACAAACACATTAATATTCTGTTTTTTCACATCGCATTGGCGCACTTGCTTCTACTGTTGGTATGTATTCCCGTGCTCTGCGTGCGCTACATCACGTCCTACGAAGTCGCCATCACGGACCCACTCTGCAAACTGGTGCATTTTTTAACGTACGTTGCCGTTGGGGTAAGCGTGAACTGCTTAGTTGGAATATGCCTGTTGAAGTACATTGCGATCACACATCCCGTTGACTGTATGATAACGAGTCGTCATGCAGTTATTCTGGCCTTTTTCATATGGGCCACCATAGGCTCGGCAAATGCACCGCTATTGTGGTACTACAAAGAAGCGGATGGCGACGTCTGCCGCCTAAACCCAGAACACGACTACCAGTACCTGATTTTCATAGGCTTGACTTTTGGGTTAGATTTTGCCTTGCCGGTGTTGACAATTTGTTGCATCACTTTGGGGATAGCTATTCAGGTTCACCGCCAGGAGGTGCACGAAGGCAGTACAGCACTGAGGAGAACTAACAAACGCTTCATTCGGCTTGTCTTGAGCATCCTCCTCGTGTTCGTTCTTACTTGGGGACCCTTCCATCTCGCCTACCTACTTGCGATGTTTCGAGTTTATGACAATGCGTGTCCTAAAAACGCCGCCGTGTTTAATTTCGCCGTGGTTTTGGGCCTCTCAAACACGTGCCTGAATCCAATCGTGTACCACTTGGCGTCACTGGAGTTCCGCCAGGCGTTTTGGAACACGCTAAGGGCAATGCGAACAATGGGTCAAGCACCGACTGACCACGAGGCTGGGCTTGAGCTGAGGCCCCTTTCAGGCATATTCAGGCAGAATAATGCTAATGTGACGTCATACTCGTGTAGGTCACCAACATCAACCACGTGCCCAGTGTGAAATATGATTGGTTCGAGCCTATGAATGACGTCACATGACGTCAGATTGGAATTGTCCTACCTGAAAATGCATTAACATGGCTTCAGTTTCACCATGCATAAAGATGGAAAACCGTCGCTTTTGTTTGAAGTTGTCAGTGACTGTCTCTTTGATGGATAAGGATTGTTGAAGTAGTTTCATCCTAAGTGATTAACGATATCTTTACTTACAACAACTTATATCATAAATGCAGTAGTTTCCTTTAGTAATGAAACCGTGCAATACTTGTTATTTTTGGACTGCACGTGTTTTTACATTTACATGCATATATTGCTTAAATTTAGATGTTATTTAAAAGACATTGCTATTGTTAGTTGACAATGTATGACCATGGTACACACAACGGTTAATAGAAGTGTCACCCTTACCAATACTTTGGGGGAGATAAATGACTGTGGAATAATATGCTCCTGGTATCATTTCATTAACATCAAATTTCACAAAAAAAAAAAAAAAAAAAAAAAAAAATGCAGACCAGGCATTATAACTACTCAAGATCTGCCTACTTTGATAATTGATTACTTGATTATTATTTGATTACTCTGACTCAGAGGGGTGACACTTCTATTGTCCATTGTGTGTACAGGCAGATGTCAGAGTCGCTGTGTAAATTATGTATACGACCGTGGTAAGACAACAGTTTCTTGGTCCAATAGAGTCGGGTACACGTTCACCCTTAGAGATGTACACGCTCACCCTTCTCATTTTTTTGTACTGGTTTGTAATATTTACGATACACTACAGTGGATGGAAACTACTTCTTAATTAAGGCATAAACTTCCATGTACTGTAGTCAGGTATTCAATTGATATAATGAAGATTCACTGTTTCCTTTCTCGCAACGTACGTGAGCTATAATATATTAATATATTGATAGGAAGATACACATAAAAATAAGATGACACTGAAACCTAATGAAATATTGGACCAGTACCGGAAGATATGATAGATGCAACATGTATCTCGTGTAAAATGTGTCCCTTTAATTAACGACTCTTTCACTTAACATTATGACATGCATTTAAATATAAGTCTAAAATTAAACAGACAAATGAAAAATTGCTGCGTTATAGGCTTACAGCTAGCAGTGAGTGCTATAGTCCTGTACCACTCTTGTTTGATGGAATGACAGATTTTGCACCTAAGATTGCTGTAATCCAACCGTTTTACATATGGCCCTGTACCAGGGCGACAGATTGATTTTCCACAGGTATTCACAGATAAGTCTCTAGATAAATAGACAGTCATTTTGGTCTGATACAGCCAAAAATGTCCACAATAATAACTGCGGCCCTGGTAGAGGGTACGATATAAGTGACATCATTGGTAACCAAAGCAATCCTAGCTTTATTGTTATTAAAGGGATAATAACTCTTCGTTTTGCCCCAAAAATGAATTTTCCTGGAGTAAACAACAATTGTCCCATACTTACCAATGGTTAATGAATCCATTTTTACATCCAAAGTTAGTCCCTGTTTTTTTTTTATCTAAAAAGTTTTTTTTTTTTTAAATAATCTCGTGAGAGGTTATAACAGAATTTAGCCATCAATGGAGGTCACGTGGTCTAAAGACAAGGTCAGATATCAGAATAATAGTTATAACTGCCGTTTTTGTGGTACAACAGAATATATTATATTTCTATGAGTTGTTCACAATGTTTTTATTGTGAAATGTAGATCTCATACGAAGAGTTATTATCCCTTTAAATAATTCAAAGCCCCCCCTTCGATTTACGTGCTGAAACAGAAACCCAGCCATACCATAGCAATGCCAATGACTCCATTACTGCCTTAGTTCTATGAAAATTGCACTGAAACTCAATCTGCATCATTTGTGCATATAAGAAGGTATTTAAGTGATGATAACACCATATTCATCAGTGCATTTAAGACTTAATTTGATAATTAAGGGATCATTTTATGACGCCTGAGTGCGATCAGACTGACGTGAGTGGCCTATAACGTACTATAGATATGACATGTTGGTACTTTATCTCGTACTCATTATCACGTTTAAGCAGCTATTTCATACCAGTTACCAGTTTCAATGAATGCATAATGTCGGTAATTGCACATATGTTTGCCTTGAAACGATCCATTTAGGTTTTGATACCGTTTTATCTCGTTTGTTATTCCAGAGGATCATTCACGCTTGCTCATAGGCCTAACTGCCTGGAAGGCAAAATTGATAGTTTAGAATTCGAAAAAACCTGTAATTCAATGAAAACATCCACACAATTTTCAAGACGCCAAAGCAAACAGCAGCCATTTCACTGTAAAATATATGGCCAGAAGTCTACCGCAGTCAAAAGTGTCACAAAGTGTCTCTAGCTTACAACTCGCGCACGATGCGACATTGCCTCAAAAATAAACTTGGCAAGTGGCAGACTATGGAAATATAAGATCCGTTTTACAAAGCTCTAAACGGTTTTAATCAGGCGGTAGCTTTGTTTGTAAGACGTTTATAAAGTAGATTTATATTGCAACAACGTTCGGGATTAATCTTCAAATGAGGCGAACCCTCGACTTCGGATCCCTGTGGCGAAATTGCCCAGGGACCTTAGCTCTGCAAAGAAATATGAGATGATGAATAAAACAGAACTGCTTTATTCCTATAGCCCCTATTGATGAATGTGGATTTGCATGAAACCATGTCCTAGGGCTATCAACAACTTAGCTTCATTTTGTCTGCTAGCCATCAGCGCTAGCCGATTTTAATTAACGCCTTAAAGACATGAAGAGGCATTGAAACATATGTGAGTTTGACATACAGGAAACAAACGGCATTGAATTTGGCGTGGTTTGATATGTATCTGCATTATAAGTCATGGAGTCATGGTGAAGTGCGTCATCAATTTAAATCCGCCGATTGAACTTCTTATCAATTTCCTGTGCAGTTCTTCTGTTGGTTATCTAGATTCTTTTCCAATATTTTAATGGTGAAAATTCATATCATGTAGAACTTTGATTTGAACAATATCCATGCAACTGCCAGTAAGTTTTTGATATTTGGAAGCACAAAAAAGCAACACATTCGTAAGGTCTCGGCTCTTCATAATATACCACGTCTACCGGACATTTGCCCAAAAAGTCTGAGATACCAATGTAATTCACTCGAGATAAATCTTGATTAGGAAACTTACGATCATTTATAAGGATGACTCTTTGTTAAATGAAAACTGGAAAGAGAACGACGCGTGTCTGAATGTAATGAGAAATATTTATGGTACTCCTGTTTTTTTAATCTTGTTAACACTGAGAGCACGCGATTTTGACATTAGCTAATATATATATATATATATATATATATATATATATATATATATATATATATATATATATATATTCACATAACGGATAAAAAACCAACCCCTTGATATACTTGAAATGAACACACCATATTGTAACGTTAATGCCATTTTACGTTAAGGCCGGTGATNCTTTTTAACGTACGTTGCCGTTGGGGTAAGCGTGAACTGCTTAGTTGGAATATGCCTGTTGAAGTACATTGCGATCACACATCCCGTTGACTGTATGATAACGAGTCGTCATGCAGTTATTCTGGCCTTCTTCATATGGGCCACCATAGGCTCGGCAAATGCACCGCTATTGTGGTACTACAAAGAAGCGGATGGCGACGTCTGCCGCCTAAACCCAGAGCACGACTACCAGTACCTGATTTTCATAGGCTTGACTTTTGGGTTAGACTTTGCCTTGCCGGTGTTGACGATCTGTTGCATCACTTTGGGGATAGCTATTCAGGTTCACCGCCAGGAGGTGCACGAAGGCAGTACAGCACTGAGGAGAACTAACAAACGCTTCATTCGGCTTGTTTTGAGCATCCTTCTCGTGTTCGTTCTTACGTGGGGACCCTTCCATCTCGCCTACCTACTTGCGATGTTTCGAGTTTATGACAATGCGTGTCCTAAAAACGCCGCCGTGTTTAATTTCGCCGTGGTTTTGGGCCTCTCAAACACGTGCCTGAATCCAGTCGTGTATCATTTGGCTTCACTGGAGTTCCGCCAGGCGTTTTGGAACACGCTGAGGGCAATGCGAACAATGGGTCAAGCACCGACTGACCACGAGGCTGGGCTTGAGCTGAGGCCCCTTTCAGGCATATTCAGGCAGAATGATGCCAATGTGACGTCATATTCGTGTAGGTCACCAACATCAACCACGTGCCCAGTGTGAAATATGATTGGTTCGAGCCTAAGAATGACGTCACGTGACGTCACATTGGAATTGTCCTCCCTGAAAATGCATTAACATGGCTTCAGTTTCACCATGCATATAGATGGACAACCGTCACTTTTGTTTGAAGTTGTCAGTGACTATCTCTTTGATGGATAAGGATTGTTGAAGTAGTTTCATCCTAAGTGATTAACGATATCTTTACTTACAACAACTTGTATCATAAATGCAGTAGTTTCCTTAGTAATGAAACCGTGCAATACTTGATATTTTTGGACTGCACATTTTTTTTACATTTACATGCGTATATTGCTTAAATTTAGATGTTATTTAAAGGACATTGCTATTATTAGTTGACAATGTATGACCATGGTACACACAATGGTCAATAGAAGTGTCACCCCTACCAATACTTTGGGGGAGATAAATGACTGTGGAATGATATACTCCTGGTATCATTTTACTAACATCAAATTTCACAAAAAAAAAAAAAAAAAAAAAAAAAAAAAAATGTAGACCAGGCATTATAACTACTCAAGATTTGCCTACTTTGACTATTAATACTTGATTATTATTTGATTACTCTGATTCAGGGGGTGACACTTCTAATGTCCATCGTGTGTACATGTAGGTGTCAGAGTCGCTGTGTAAGTTATGTATACGACCATGGTAATGCAATAGTTTCAAATTTCACAAAAAAAAAATGTAGACCAGGCATTATAACTACTCAAGATTTGCCTACTTTGACTATTAATACTTGATTATTATTTGATTACTCTGATTCAGGGGGTGACACTTCTAATGTCCATCGTGTGTACATGTAGGTGTCAGAGTCGCTGTGTAAGTTATGTATACGACCATGGTAATGCAATAGTTTCTTGATCCAATAGAGTCGGGTACACGTTCACCCTTAGAGATGTACACGCTCACCCTTCTCATATTTTTGTACTGGTTTGTAATATTTACGATACACTACAGTGGATGGAAGCTACTTCTTAATTAAGGCATAAACTTCCATGTAGTCAGGTACTCAACTGATATAATGAAGATTCACTGTTTCCTTTCTCGCAACGTACGAGAGCTATAATATATTAATATATTGATAGGAAGATACACATAAAAATAAAATGACACTGAAACCTAATGAAATATTGGACCAGTACCGGAAGATATGATAGATGCAACATGTATCTCTTGTAAAATGTGTCCCTTTAATTAACGACTCTTTCACTTAACATTATGACATGCATTTAAATATAAGTCTAAAATTAAACAGACAAATGAAAAATTGCTGCGTTATAGGCTTACAGCTAGCAGTGCGTGCTATAGTCCTGTACCACTCTTGTTTGATGGAATGACAGATTTTGCACCTAAGATTGCTGTAATCCAACCGTTTTACATATGACCCTGTACCAGGGCGACAGATTGATTTTCCACAGATATTCACAGGTATGTCTCTAGATAAATAGACAGTCATTTTGGTCTGATTCAGCCAAAAATGTCCACAATAATAACTGCGGCCCTGGTAGAGGCTACGATATAAGTGACATCATGGGTAACCAAAGCAATCCTAGCTTTATTGTTATTAGAGGGATAATAACTCTTCGTTTTGGCCCAAAAATGAATTTTCCTGGAGTAAACAACAATTGTTCCATACTTACCAATGGTTAATGAATCCAATTTTTACATTCAAAGCTAGTCCCTGTTTTTTTATCTGAAAAGTTTGTTTTTTTTTGTAATAATCTCGTGAGAGATTATAACAGAGTATAGCCATCAATGGAGGTCACGTGGTCTAAAGACAAGCTCAGATATCAGAATAATAGTTATAAATGCCGTTTTTGTGGTACAACAGAATATATTATATTTCTATGAGTTGTTCACAATGTTTTTATTGTGAAATGTAGATCTCATACGAAAAGTTATTATCCCTTTAAATAATTCAAAGCCCCCCCCCCCTTCGATTTACGTGCTGAAACAGAAACCCAGCCATACCATAGCAATGCCAATGACTCCATTACTGCCTTAGTTCTATGAAAATTGCACTGAAACTCAATCTGCATCATTTGAGCATATAAGAAGGTATTTAAGTGATGATAACACCATATTCATCAGTGCATTTAAGACTTAATTTGATAATTAAGGGATCATTTTATGACGCCTGAGTGCGATCAGACTGACGTGAGTGGCCTATAAAGTACTATAGATATGACATGTTGGTACTTTATCTCGTACTCATTATCACGTTTAAGCAGCTATTTCATACCAGTTACCAGTTTCAATGAATGCATATTGTCGGTAATTGCTCATATGTTTGCCTTGAAATGATCTATTTAGGTTTTGATACCGTTTTATCTCGTTTGTTATTCCAGAGGATCATTCACGCTTGCTTATAGGCCTAACTGCCTGGAAGGCAATATTGATAGTTTAGAATTCGAAAAAAACCTGTAATTCAATGAAAACATCCACACAATTTTCAAGACGCCAAAGCAAGCAGCAGCCATTTCACTGTAAAATATATGGCCAGAAGTCTACCGCAGTCAAAAGTGTCACAAAGTGTCTCTAGCTTACAACTCGCGCACGATGCGACATTGCCTCAAAAATAAACTTGGCAAGTGGCAGACTATGGAAATATAAGATCCGTTTTACAAAGCTCTAAACGTTTTAATCAGGCGGTAGCTTTGTTTGTAAGACGTTTATAAAGTAGATTTATATTGCAACAACGTTCGGGATTAATCTTCAAATGAGGCGAACTCTCGACTTCGGATCCCTGTGGCGAAATTGCCCAGGGACCTTAGCTCTGCAAAGAAATATGAGATGATGAATAAAACAGAACTGCTTTATTCCTATAGCCCCTACTGATGAATGTGGATTTGCATGAAACCATGTCCTAGGGCTATCAACAACTTAGCCATCAGCGCTAGCCGATTTTAATTAACGCCTTAAAGACATGAAGAGGCATTGAAACATATGTGAGTTTGACATACAGGAAACAAACGGCATTGAATTTGGCGTGGTTTGATATGTATCTGCATTATAAGTCATGGAGTCATGGTGAAGTGCGTCATCAATTTAAATCCGCCGATTGAACTTCTTATCAATTTCCTGTGCAGTTCTTCTGTTGGTTATCTAGATTCTTTTCCAATATTTTAATGGTGAAAATTCATATCATGTAGAACTTTGATTTGAACAATATCCATGCAGTAAGTTTTTGATATTTGGAAGCACAAAAAAGCAACACATTCGTAAGGTCTCGGCTCTTCATAATATACCACGTCTACCGGACATTTGCCCAAAAAGTCTGAGATACCAATGTAATTCACTTGAGATAAATCTTGATTAGGAAATTTACGATCATTTATAAGGATTACTCTTTGTTAAATGAAAACTGGAAAGAGAACGACGCGTGTCTGAATGTAATGAGAAATATTTATGGTACTCCTGTTTTTTTAATCTTGTTAACACTGAGAGCACGCGATTTTGACATTAGCTAATATCGGTATATATAATATCGGTATATATATATATATATATATATATATATATATATATATTCACATAACGGATATAAAACCAACCCCTTGATATACTTGAAATGAACACACCATATTGTAACGTTAATGTCATTTTACGTTAAAGATACTGCAGATCATGCATATTTGGTATTGATCATTTTTACCTTATGAAGACGGTTCATCTCAACCACATTAAATGCATTTAAATACAAGGCACATATCTTACTGCAAACATTCTAAATGTCATGATGTGCGTGTAAGTAAAATGCCACGAAAATGTAGGAACAATTAAATTCAACTTCTAGCGCATGTGCAAACGCTGGCAATTCATGGTATCAATCATTGCTCTTGTTTTCCGGAGTCATTTCAGACAGTGATTGGGATCAGACTGGATCAAGAAATCCAGAGATAAGATGTAGATTTATTTAGTCAATACACATACATATTTGTTTGGCCAATAAATATACAATAACGGGAATGTATTACCCCTTCGTTAGCAAAGAAGTTGGGTAAAAGATAAAAGATATAGAACCTTTATAAAACCATGATTAGGCAAAATCTCAATTTTGAGGGTTGTGGGGGGGGGGGGGG